TTTTTGCCTACTGTCGTTTTACCTCCGATACATTTTAGTCGGCCGTTTTGCGACCTGAAAAGTCGTCATTTGTTTGTAAATTTTGGAAAGTACACTTCGCGCGTTCGTATAGGTGAATGTACGTTTGGAGTACATGTTAAATGCGTTTTACAACTCTGCTACTATTTACTAAACTAACTGTGTCGTCATTCCAACCGGACTGATCCAGAAGGGCGTTCTTCTGTCTGCTCTTTGTAGATGACCAGGTCCTCCGTTGTTTCGCCGTACTCTTAATTCTAAGAACATGGTGAACCAGCGAAGAACAGAACCTATAAATCTACAAGGAATAGATAGAAGAAAGCGATTCTGCCTCCCTCTAGATCAAGCCGGTTCAAATGTTTGCATAGTTAGTCCAGTAGACAGTTCCAGAGTTGTAAACGTATTTCGCATAAACTCCTAACTTACATTAATGTTTCCCAACGCGCAAAGTATACTCGTCAGCATTTCTTAAATCTGAATCCCCATCTCCCCAGAAGTTGTATAAATAACAGAATCACGGTTGCCAATGCAAGCAAAAATGCGAGTTCCAGGAAGTAATTGAGAAGGAGCAGACGTGACCGCTGGGACAAGAACCTTATTCGACTGACGCTTCGGATTCCGTCGGGGAGCCAATAACAGAAACGGGTAATTCATGCACAGGGATTTGCAGTATTTATAGGATACAGTCGCTATACTGCTGCATACGAACTTCTTTGCCCAAACTGAGCCTCAGAACCGGATGTGGTTTGGGCAGGTCTACATTATAGATGATTTGGACTGCTGTTTTTTTCCCGGGTGATTTTTCGTTCAGCCTAACACGCTTACTTTACCCGTTCATCCACTCAAACTACCCCCAAGGAAAGCTAGAACCTATGAACATACGTTTCACTTCACTAACAGAGCGTTCTCAGCGTGGAACGCCCTGCTCGCTGGGGTTTTGTTTGTTGTCAACTAGTTGAGGCTATTCATATACCAGCCCCACTCACACCTACTTAATTAAACAACGCTCTACTGCAATCACATATGAGCATACTACTTGCAACGGCTAAATACAAGTTGTTGTTTAGTCTTTTGCGTCTTCAGGTAACCAAAACACTAGTTTTGCTGCACCATCGATGTTGGATGAGACGCGGACAAGGCAGCGCGCGAAGTTCGAGAATCTTGTCGTGAACACTTAATCCGGTGCATTGAAACTGTCTCTGCCTACCCAGTGCTATGCAACCAGGCTTAAGGACGCTACTCAGCCTCCCTGGCTAGTTTTTAGGGTGACAGGCTTGCGCAGCACCCACCGCACCCTTTTCCCCCACCTTGCATTGCCTCAATGACAAGACAGTCTCGGGATGATCGGCGGCGGGCACGGGTTTAGCGGCTAGCAAAGCGTTACCACGCAATTTGGTTCCCATTCCAAATGTACTAGGCTACTGTGAGGGTGGCTCGGATCTCACGTTAAAGAAAATGCCATATTGAGAAGGAACCACTGCAGTCTTGCTCTAGAAAAGGACATAGTCATCCCGTCATCCGGTGGTCTTCCAGTTCATGACTGATAGCGCACTGGGATGGATTAGAGCGCGTCAATTTTTTTATAAGGAGGAATGCGTGGATGAGGCGTGGGGGTGGATTTGCCAGCCTCAGCCTCATCTCCACCCTCTTGCTGCATTCCCCTGGAGCTTTTTGGAGCCCATGATGCCTTTATCTAGCCTGGAAGCAAGTTAATTTGCTGTCTTATAATGAACGTACGCACAATAAATTATTACCCTCACTGACCTCTACCCAACTAAAACGTCCAAATTTGGGGTAATTTACAGATTGGTAGCACACATGTAGGCCTTTTAGTGCTCCCCGTTCTCACCCTGATTTTTCGACTTATCTGCTGCGTTAGCCGTGTGAGGCTTTATAAATTACTTCTTTATTTGCATCTTCTCTCTTCTGCCCACCTCCACAGGACCTTCTAGAACAGTCAAAGACTCTCATGACGGGCATTCAACTGGAGGTTCATAGTAAGATTTTGAATAGCTGTACTGGGCTTATGGCCGCCATTGCAACGCTCGTCGCCAGGGCTCGCGAACTACAGAATGAGATTGTTAGTGAGGGTCGGGTGAGTTGCCTCTCTCTGTGTTATAATTTGTGTGAGTCCCCATTAGGAACCAATTTATTTTAGCTTGTACGGCACTACACGTGTATCCTGAATTCTACCGCATATCTGAACCGGCTTCTCAATTGCTTGCTTGGAGGATCTAAAACCCCCTAGACTGGTCCTTCTAGTTTGTTTTTCTTTCTGAGGAAGGACCAATTAACACTTCCCCCTTGTCTTTGCCGGCACAACTATCTGCTTATAATACCAGTTGTTACGGCTGTCAGGGCCCCTGGCAAGACCCAAGGCAGAACGGGACAGATGAGTCCCGTTAATGGTCAGGTAAACGTTCACCAACGAGAGTCAATATCCCCTGATCTAAACCGGCTAGACAACGAGCTCGTGGCTCAACGGTTAGGGCGTCAGACTTTGACTAAAAGGTAGCGAGTTCGAGACTCGGGTGGGACACCACTTGGGTCTGGCTATGACTGGCTGACGACGACGGCTAACAAGCCAGAAGTGGTCATTCCAGTCTCCCTTGTCTTTGCCGGCAATACTATCTGCCAACAGTTTCCCTCCTATTTGTTTCGGACAGTTTTTTTCTGTCAATTCGAAAGGCAGTTTGTATTGATCAAGATATACTTGATTAAGCCCACTTGGTGTGGTTGGGACCGTGTCTGATCTGTAACACACTCCACATGCCACCATCAGCTATAGTGGATCTGGAGGGCACGAACAACTGTTCCCCGCAACGACAAAGACTAGTTGCCGCAAGTCTAAAACCACCACCACCAGCAACGCCGAAGCATTGATTACTGTATTTTTTTCGAACCCTCCATGTCCAAGTTTGCTTGGTAAATTTGAATGTAGACGGGTGCGCAGCGACTATGTGGATGCCCTTTTCACTGTTTCCTTCTCTATCTCTCTGGCTTGGTAACCCCGCCCAAAGACGCGTTTTTCTTACAGACTTATCAAGTGGTGGCTTTTCTTGGTCTCCAAGTCATTATGCTGTATACTTCGAAGGCAACCGGCATGTCAGAACTCAGCCTGTGGCGTTCTGGTGGTACTGCCGTTGGTTGTTCGTCAGAGCAGGGAGCCTGCGTATCTCACGTCCAGCCTTAGCTGAAAACCATTGGGCTGTCCGCCACCCGTGGATGTGCCGGCCATCCAGTAGCTAGCATAGCGGATAAACTTGTAGCTGCGGTGCCTTCAAACAGTAAATGGGTATCAAGGTGAACTGCACGCTCCTCTCGCTGAAATATACTCCAATTTGCTAGGGTATCGAAAAGACGTGCATTAATTAAGTAGTCTTTCGTTTAAAGTTAGATTTGAAACGGGCATCGGTAATACACCGGTTGCAAATTTACTTACTTCACAGGACACCCCTCGTGGCGCGCAAACCGTCCACCCTTGCATTCCTGTACGTTATACTATGTAAAAAAACGACCCTTAAAGCTGAATTCATTCCTTGTTTTTCGAAAACAATGCGATTCTTCACACCGGCTTTCACTTGATTTTGATCAGATTTTTCTGCTTCGGAAAGGATTTACTTGAAAGTTGTCTTGCTTATGTTTATTTTCCTTTTATAGTAGAACGCACAAAAAGAAAACATTTGTTTCTGTTACAGTAAATAGCATAGGAATTTTTTGAATCCTGTCCTGCAATATAAAAAGGTTCGAAAGATTGCAGTTTTTTCTTAATAACAGTTTTTTGAGCCTCAAATCCGCTTAAAAGATCAACATAACGAGACCAACTGTAAGCTAAACTACCAAATACCGATCACGAATTTGCATGCGTACAGTCATCTGCTGTATGATCAAACCTGGGTTCTGTTTCATCCAACCCCACTGGAATTGTCATTTGCCTTTGGATGCTTCGCCAGTTTCCCGAACTGACTGCGTATCCGCTCCGACTGGGGTGCGGTCTTCGTGCCTGTCCGACCGAAGCTTGTGTCTTCTCGAAACTGCTGCACAGACACGCACACGCACTTTGTTGCCGACCACCGCACTGATGAATCCACCAAGTTGACTTTGTTGTTTTTTTCACTTCAGGGCGCCGCATCCGTGTCAGAGTTCTACAAACGTCATAATCGCTGGACCGAAGGCCTCTTCTCCGCAGCCAAGTCTGTGGGTGCAGCTGCAAATATGCTTGTGTAGGTTCTCCTTCCTCTGTATTTTTCTTCTTCCATTTGCACGATCACATCCTAATTTAATTGCGTGCATCTACGCTGTAGAGTGCTGTTGCCCTGTTCGGTAACCCACGAGCTCTCAGACAACGCGTTGGTGCCTTGGCGCCACCATCACCCAGTCACGCAGATGCCACCACGCCGAG